TAAAAAAACCAAACACGATGTCCAAGAGATGGGGAGGGAGCAGGGGTGGGAAAGGTAATCAGTGATCAGCCCTGAGCACTCTCATCTCTCTAAGAGAAAGCTACCACTAATAATTTCCTTAATAAGAGAATTCCTGCACTAACTAGCACTTCCTCTCTCCCTGAACATGGCTCTCACACTAGTCCATAAGCTGTGTTCCTGCATTGCCAGAGAGCTGGGTGGGTGTTAGCACAATTTAAGGAATTAAAATGTCATTAAGGGGGTGCATGGAGCACAGCCTTCCTTGTCGGACACCATGCCAGCAGGAAAATGCCAGTGAGCTCAGCATATCTGATGCCTTTGGCTTAGGTTATCTACAACCAGCTGAGTACCAGGAAGGAGCTCTCCTGAATCCCAGGCTCTGAAACTGGAGAAGGCAAAATTATATCTCTGGTCCTGCGAGGGCGACCGTGAGACGGGCGATGGAGACAATCCTGCTGGGTGGAGAAGGGGAGATTTCCCTGCTGGCAACCTTGGAATCCAGCATGTCCCCAGGCCCATTACACCATATCCATTTCCAAATCCTGATTTGGAGGCTGCTATTGGCATTTCACATCCTCTGAGGAGTCTGTGCCCAGCGGCAAACCGACATTCACTTCCCCCGGCATGACATAATGCCTGTTTTCATCCTGTCTAGTGGATATTAAAAAAGATAATGTCAGCTGAAAAAAATGACATCACTATTGAGCCACTTTACAGCTCTCTGCTTCTCTCTCTTGTGTGTCTCCATCTTCACATCCCACCTGTGCTGCCTGTTGCTCATCAGCCCAAGGACCTTCCTGCAGCCACTGCACAAGGTACATGTGCCTGATGGTTTCAGCTTGCTGGAGGATTCAAGTGCCAAAGTGAAAGGAATTTGCAGAGGCAATTCCTTCATTTTAAACTATTTTCTTGTAAACATAGGGAAAGTCCCTCATGCCCTCTGTCTCCCATGCCTGCAGCAGGCAGCTGATTGTACTCCTCTTCTGAAGGCCATACCTTTACACATTACTCTGGTAAGCACATATTCACGGCTCTAAATTTGTTTTAAAATACAGTTCTTAACCTAGAGATTTCATGCAGAAAGGCAGAGGAAAAAAGCTGCTTTGGAAATGTTAGGAAGGAGCAGCACTGACTCATCAGTGATATGAATGGGGAAAGCCAGAGGGACCTTCTCATCTCTAATGTGATTTTATGATTCAGTGAATAATGCATATTAGCATAATACCAACTAAAAAAATCCATACTCATCATAGAATCACAGCTATCAACATTATCCTATTATTAATTATTAACATTTACACTATCAATCAGCCCCTGGCTGACTGATAGCTTAAAATCTTGCATAAAGATTGTTACAACAATAGCCACAGTACATCACGTAATGTGCCTCACAGTCGGGTTGTCATATCCTCATCTGTAAAGCTTTTTACTAATGCACTTTACAACATATCTTACAGTACATGGATGAAGAATGTGGCTGCACCCAGTAATAATTCCATTAATTATGAATAAAGCATTTACAAATGACATCCTTATTTAAAATTACTGATGAACACATTTTGGTTTAATGCAGATGCACTGTGTAATTTGTAATTGGATAAAAAGCAATGCTGGCAACACGGGGTAGGGAAAAAGGGCCAAGATCTTATGGTCTTTGCATCAGCAAGGGAAAGGGGCAAAAAAAACAATGGAGAAAATGATTGACAAACAACAAAACATTGGCATAAAGCTGACCAAACTCCAAGGTGATGGTTGAAAGCAATGATTAAAGGTGCCCTGCAGAGCTGAAAGGGAAAAATCCTTACCCACTGACCTTGCATTGCGGTTGTGTTAATAAAAGTCACTCCTATATTAATAAAGTCTATATTTTCATTGCTTTCTCTCATTTCAGTGTTTTCAGCTGGCTGGCAGCTCACCAAGACTCGTTAGCCACATACAGTTTGCCTTTGCAGTACCTTGGTACTGCTTTGTCCTGTAGGCTCTCGGAGATGGCAGAATATTTATTACATACAATATTTCACTGAGGCTACTTACGTCAAGAGGCTATAAATACATTACTCTTCCTAGTTTACTTAAGGGATAAAAAGTGAGTAGCTAAGTTTACAGAGCAGGCTCAGGCTCTATTAATGTGTGGTCTGTTCATTTTCATATAGATCTCAATTGTTTGAAATTATTTTCCAGATTAATCCTGTGAGTGATTCTTGCCTTGCTGATCATTTCCGAGCACTGTTGGTCTACTTGTGCAGTGGTCATATTCAGGTTATTACATGTATTATTAAAGAAAGGTTAATTTAAATTCATCAAGCTTTTTGGTAATAAAGTCATGAATATTTATGTGGTCATTGTTTTCTACTGAGAGCCTTGTGCCAAGAACTTCTTATACTGAAGTTCAATTATTTCAGTGTGTCCCAACTGGGGAGGCAAAAATTATGGCAGCTCACTTCTGGCCATAGAGGTGGGGGGACAGGAACTTTGGTGCTCAGGAGAAAGTCAGCAAACTCCTTTTAATTACTTTTCTCCTGAGTTTCCCCAGTGTTTACAGCAGTGTGGACCAGCAAAGTGCCTGGATAATGCACAGGCCATGGTGTCATGTTCTGTCTGTTAGCACGGAGCCAGAGGCTGTGTGGTGCTGGGTGCTGAAGGCAGTGCAAGGTTCTGCAGACTCAGAGAGTCAGAGAAAAGAGACCTGGATCCATCACATAAAGTTAAGGGAAAAAATTGGCTCAGGAGAGATTTAGTTTTGGGTTCAGGCAGGCCTTTCTGCAGGTTTTCCAAGGAGATGAGATTGCAAGAGCCAAGCCAGGCAGGAATTCTGTCTGAATTATTTTCACATTCCCTTTTAATGTCCCATCCATGGGTGATATCTAGTGCAGAGCATGACACCTGACATGGCCCTTTCCCCATATTTTCAAGTTAATAAACATAGTGAAAAATAATATACAGTGTTTATTGCCAGCACTGTCAAGGAGGACACTGTGCATTCCACCTCTCCCCCCAAACCCAGGCAGTGTAGGAGAGGCTGCTGTAATTACAGGTCTCCTTGTGCAAGACTGCTTTGAAATTCCCAATATTTCTCCAAACCACCAGCAAGTTGGTTTTCAGAGCTGCCTGACAGAGAATTTATTTATTAAGGTCTTGGCTGTTTGCAGCAGTGGCTGGGCAGCAGCAGTTCCACAGAGTTATCAAAAATCTATTTCCTTGCAGAGTCACAAGTAAAATATCAAAACCCTTTTGAAAAGCCAAGTGCAACATTTACATTTTAATCTCCCCAAACACTTTCCTTTCTGACAAACTGGGTTTTTTGGTCTGTGTGTTATGGAGAGGAAAGGCAGTGGGGCTAGAGGAGGAAGGTTTGTATCCCTGGGATGAAGCGTGGGCTGCTCTGAGTGTGTGACACTGATGGAGTGGCACAGTGACTGCAAGGACTGCCACCCTTCAGCACTGCTGGGACCAGGTGAGAGAGAAAAACAGCCTGGCCCCAAAATCTAGCAGTGCAGGGGCATCAAACACCGAGCTGGGTTAGCAAGCACGTGTAAATGCAAAAGTAATCTGAAGGGGAGAAAGGAGTCAATAGGAGCAGACACCACCTTCTCCAGCAGCTTGGCAAAAAGCTTCTTTGATATATTTAAAAATGTTATGATTCACAAGAACCTGCCAACCATTTACTTAGTATCTATAAAAATAAGAAAAAAAAGGTAAGTCTGAAGTTTTCAATCACAACTGTTAAAGGCTCCTTCTCACTTTCTTTGATTCGAGGCAGTTGCTCCCGTCTACAAACTCCCACACAGGAGTCAGCGTGGGCTCGTGTGGGGCTGGCAGTGGCCACTAGCAGCCACTTATCTATAGGGGAAAATAGCCTTTATTTCACTGTTTCTTCACACTCCTGCCTGCAGGTTAATTGGGATGAAGTGGAGGGCCCCAGCTCCACAGTTTGCAACAAAAGCGACTCTGCCTTTGCCTTGCTGCCAGCGGGGCCCAGGTCCTGCTGCCTCTGTGGAGTCGCTGCAGCAAACCATGAATTATGGATGAAATGAAAAATCCCAGCCCGGTGCACAGAGGGAATATGCAAAGTGCAGAGCGATCACCTTTGTGCCTGAGCCTTGCTTTGTGCCACCTTTGCATGCATGAGGCCCAAAATGCCGGGCTGTGCTTCGGCCCGGCCCTCCCTCGGCCCACAGGGTCAGGATTCCCTCCTCCCCAGGGATGGGGGTCTGAAATGCCCGTCATTAATCTGAAATGAAAACATGTCCTTGTGCTTTGTGGGATCTTCCTGGGAGCTCCTGAGGGTGGATAAAGCTGAGGGGTCAGGAATATCCTAAAAGAGACAGGGATATCCTAAAAGGGTCAGGGAGATCTTAAAAGATTCAGGGAGATCCTAAAAGGACAGGGACACCCCAAAAGGAACAGGAAGACCCCAAGAGAGTCAGGGAAACCCCAAAAGGGACAGGAAGACCCCAAGAGAGTCAGGGAAACCCCAAAAGGGACAGGGATATGCCAAAAGGTATATGCAGAGGTGCAGGCATCAGGCAGGATGGGCATCTGGGCTGGGCTTGCCCTGAGGCATGGTGCAGATCTCTGCTCCAGGTGTGTCCTGAGCACATGGACACACATTTCAGGTGAGCTCCCACTGATAGTAAAATGGTTTTAAAATCATGGGGATTTAGGGTTAAAAGGAAAAATAAGCTTAGTAGGCCCTGGAAAAATAAATACCCTAAGCACATGAAGAACTTGTACTTGCTAGAACTGCACCTGTGTAGCTAGTACATGATAAATGATATAATTGTTAGATGTGATGATTGTTTAGTAATTAAATAAAATTACTGTTTAATCATAAGAATAATCATGTGAAACTGTGGTCAGGGACCTAAGAAAGATCACGAGGAACTCATGTCAATGTATACAATAGAACAATATAAGTTTATTAATTAATATATAGGTTATATAACGATAGAATATAAAATACGTTCAGCTCGAAAGCCATGTAGGAGTCAGATTTGGGTCTGTACCCCTGATTCACAGAGCTCTCAATAAAAGCACCTGCAGATAATCCTACCCTGTGATTATGTGTGTTCTGGAACGCTAACACCATCATTTCAGGAGCTCCCACCAGACTGGCTCTGAGAGCCTTTCCACATGCAGTGGAGCCCTCCAGGGATCTGCAGAGGCCACAGTTCCACCAGAGCTCTCTTTTCTTGAAGCAAAGTGTTGGAAAAGAGCTTGACAGGCTCTGACTTCAAGACTCTGCAATTTGGGGAAGCTCAGTCCCTCTACTCATAACTTCTCATTCAGAAAGAAGATGCCTTTCAGGAACCATTTTTAAATGTCTTTTAATTTTTAAATGCTTTAGTTCCTTCCCTGCAAATCCATCTCTCTGCTTTTGTGCACCATCTAGTAACGTGCTTCCACACAGCCATTTCTGAGTGTGCAATATCAACATCTGTGCTAAAACCAAAGAGAAATTTCTCCCTGAAGCAAAATTTTGCTCTGTATTATTGTTACTTTTTTTTCCCTATTTAATGATTTGCTTGTCATGGGGCCTCTTCAGCCTCTTATTTTCAGGAAATGAAGATTCTCTGCCTCTCGCTCCTTGTCAAAGACACCCTGGTAGGAGAGAGCATCATCACCCTTGTCCCATCTCCTAAAAGCATTTTACTTAGTGTCCAATAAAACTGTGCTGCAGTAAAGCACCTCACTGAACTGGGTGCCTGATATGCAGCAGGTTGGCAGAATTAATTTATTGGTGTTTGTACAGCCTTTTGAACTTCTCTTGTTACATAGGTGTCAATAATGATAATAAAAATAAAACCATTATTTTATTATTATTTTTATTATTATTGTGACTTTCTATCATAGCCAATGATGAACATTCCCCTGTGCAGATATTTAAGATATCCAGTGGGAGATGCTTTGTTCTTAATTTTGATTATTTTAAGAAGTCCTTTAGCACATCAAATAATCTCCCTAGGCAAGGATTTATAGGAAGGTCTTGAGAGCTGTCAGAGTAGTGTTTTTCCAGCAGTAAAAACTCAACCTCCTCTTTGATTTTCATTTGTATTTTGTCCTGGGTGTAGCTGCAGCAAGTGCTCGGTCACAGCCATCAGGATGGAGGAGACGTGTTGTCAGTTGTTTTATTTTTGATCCCATTTGAATGTGTCAGTCAACTGCCTCGAATCAAAGAAAGTGAGAAGGAGCCTTTAACAGTTGTGATTGAAAACTTCAGACTTACCTTTTTTTTTCTTATTTTTATAGATACTAAGTAAATGGTTGGCAGGTTCTTGTGAATCATAACATTTCTAAATATATCAAAGAGGCTTTTTGCCAAGCTGCTGGAGAAGGTGGTGTCTGCTCCTATTGACTCCTTTCTCCCCTTCAGATTACTTTTGCATTTAATAATCATAATGAAAAGAATCAAGGACTCTTAACTAGGCTGGCTAAGGCTGTGATTAATGAAAGTGTAATGCAAGCTACTGTACAGCCATTAGAAACCAGTTAGCTAATTAGTGTAATCACAGAGGTGGAAATAATTAAGAGACCATAAAATAGAGGTAACCTAATAACAATGTTTTTCTCTGACCCAGAACTGGCGAGAAAAGGATGCTTTGTTAGGTTAGGAACAGAGAGGAGTGAAGATGGAATATTCTGTGAGTAATCACTGTCAGGGAGGTCTCAGAGCACAGACAAGTAGAACACAGCAGATTTTACTCCAACATAATCCAGATTGCAGCAGAATCCTCTGGCAATGGTGCTTCACACCTCTGCATCCCTCTCCCATCCTATGCACTGCCACAATTCAGTGACAGACAATCAAGACAGCGTGAGGCAGGAGCTGGCTGCCTTGTTCTGTCTTACTTTGTTCCCTTTCTTCTTTCCTAGGTTATTAGCAAATATAATATTAAAACTAACTTCACCTTGCAGTGCCAGGTTTGATTTCAGGAAAAGGAGAAATCAGTGTCCTAAGGTGTTTAAGAAGAAAATCCTGTTAGAGGATTCACTATATTTATAGAGCTCCTAGTGTATTCATGTATGTTATTCACTATAGCTTCACAGGACTCTACAGAGTCTTTCTGGGCAGAGAATGATGCAGTGATCCATAAGGGTGGCAGTCACTTCCAGAGCTGCTCCCAGGACATGGGTGCCAACCAGATGTTTCATCCCTTCACCCCTCACCTGCTGCTTTTGCACCCAGCACACTGGATGCTGCACAACCCCAAAATGTGCCTGAGCACTCCCCATGTGGGACTGTCCAGGTCCATGAGAGGTGGGCTGGATCTCACCCTTGGGGATTAGAAGTGACCTATGTCTGGCTGGTGGATGAAACAGCTCCATGTAAGAGGCAATAAAAATTCCTAACCCATAATTTTCCATCTGGAATGGGTCACCACTATGCCCATCTCCATTGGTTCTTAGCATTTCTGCCACGGTTTGTGTGTGTTTCGTTTGACCTGGGTCTAATGAGCAGAGAAGAGGAACGGAGCTGCAGACACACAATCAAGGCTCAGCCGCCAAGGCTGATGAGTCTGCCGAGACTGCTAAGTGGGTCTTCATTAGCTATTCACAAGCGAAGAGCAGCCCTTATTTATTCTTCTTGCCTAGGTGAATCTATTTTTGAATATCTTTTGTAGTGATCTTGTCTGGGGAGGGTGGCGGGGAGATCGGATGGAGGGCACCACTCCTGCCAGTTAACTGGATTGTTGTCCTGGAAAAACAGGCTGTGACACCAAGCTGGCAGCAAGCTGCAAAGAGGAAACAATGTGATGCCATTTGGAGAAGGAAGGAATCATTTTCCCCAGTGACATCTCTGGTGGGAGGCAGAACTTTATCTTCTCTTTGCAGCTCAAATGAAGCATCTCAGCAGTAGCATTAACTGCACCTCCAGGTTTGCACTTTGTCTTTTCATTAACTTTTCTTTTCTTTTTGTGCTGTAGCAGGGAACACGCTTTCCAGGGAGGGTTTGTGGTGAGCCACTGGAGCTGCAAGCCCAGGATGTCCCAGGTGGGTCCCCAGGCTGTGGCACATGTGGCGCTGCTGCAGCCAAATGGACGAGCCTGGTGGTCTGCAGTGAAGAAGGGAAAACCGATTTATGTCTGCCAGTCTGGTGGAGAGGGGATTTCGGAGCAGCAGGTCATGGTGAGCCTTGCTCCAGGTGTGCTTTCATCCCTCCAGCTCGGACATGTGCATCACGTCCTGGGACATCCTTGCAGACGGGGCAGTGCTTGACCTCCGGCAGCACCAGTGGTTTTTGTTTCATATGAACAAGCCACTTTTCCACGCTGGGCACTTAAACGCTCTCCTTTGAGCTTCTCCTCGGGCTGGGCTGGGCCGGTGGGGTGCGGATCCTCCCGCCCTCCCTGCCCGTGGCCAAGGCTGCCCTCTCCCGACGCGCCGGGATCCGAGGGATGCGGCGGCTGAGCCGGGCCAGCATCCCCTGCCGGAGCCCCCAATGCTGCACCGTGCCCAGCCCAGCGCTGTCCCGCACATCGGCACACACCAGCCCGGCCCCGGCATCCCCCGAGCTGCCCGGCCCCGGCATCCCCCGAGCTGCCCGGCCCCGGCATCCCCCGAGCTGCCCGGCCCCGGCATCCCCCGAGCTGCCCGGCCCCATCACCGCCTGCCTCTGATGTGGATCCAACCCGGATCCAACCCGCACCGCGCTCCGGCACCGCGGGGATGCTGCTTGAGGAACCTCCTGCTGGTTTCCTTTTTACCCGACCGATCCCAGCCCTTCCAATCTGCCCAGTGCCTTCTTGCTTTTCGTTTCGTTTTTATGATCTGGTAGTGTAGGTGTGAATCCCGTACTCCTCTGAGTTATTTTTTGCCAGCTGAGTCTGTTTGTGCTGCAGACTGTGTGGGTGTCACCCTCGGGAAAGCCGCGTTTAGCAGTGCACTGCTCCAGGAAAATGTTTTTATATTAACAGAGATGTGAGACAAACTCTTGCACCTCTGGGGCTGGCAAACAGCTGATCCAGGAGAGATGACTTTTTTTTTTTCCCCCCCTTGTGATTTTGACCTTATTTGCTGAAAGTGAAATATCATCCAGCCTTCCAGGAAATACCACAAATCTTCTATCTGACATGAGAACATAAATCTTCAGTAAGGGTTCATCCATTCTGCATCTCAAGCCTCCAGAACCGAGTTGTGGACACTGGTGTTGGAATCTCAGCCTCCTGAATCCAGGGCTGCTGAACCTCAGCCCCTGCACCTCCCCAGCTTGGAGAAAAACATCCCCATGGGGTTGGCCCTTACTGAGCTGGTTCTGCACCAGTTCCTCTTAGAAAAAGTGGGGGGGGATTTGCCTGAATCACCTTGAATCTCTTAATTTTTTGTGGGAGACACGAAACCCTTCCCCTCCAGCTCTGTGTGTCTGGCAGAAATGAAACACAGCTTTACAGCCCAGAGTAACCCACCTTCCCATGCTTCAGCCTCCCCATATCACCTCCCAGGAGAGGCTGTTGCACTGTAGAGGGTTCAGGCTCTGCACCCCACGCTCAGCAGGACAGCCCCAGCTCACACCTCTGAAAGCATATTTCCTGAGAGCTTGCCTGTGGGTCCCTGACTTTGCCTTTGTGCACCAGCCTTTGTGGGTTGTGACCCCCCCTGCTTTTTGGGGACCACAAAGTCCTTTCTGAGAAGGCAGTGGAGCAGCCATGGGGCTCACATGTGGTTATTTTAAGATAACAGGTTATTTGTGGGAAGACGTGGCTGCAAAATTTTCCACCTCCCATCCTCCACGAGTGGTTTAGGAGGTGTTTTTTGCTCAAGAAATTTGTGCTTTTATTTTTGGTCCCCTCGGGCTGTATCCCTCAGTGTGCAAATCTCTTTGTTTCATGGCTTTTTCCCAGAGCAGGGGCACCCCAAACTCCACTGGAGCCAGGGAAGGACTCAGAGCCACCTTTGCATTTTGCTGTGTGTCCTTCTGGATCAGTTCAGTGACATTCCCAACCCTCAGCGAGATGGGGATTGTGGCTTTAACTGAGCCGGCAATGATCCCTTCCAAAGGCTCCAAACAGCAAAAGTTTTTTGGTTTTTTTATTGCCTGGACCACTTTTCCCTATTTTACCACTAGATGGGAGAGTGAGACTGGGCTAACTCAGCTGCTCCCCTCCTTATCCCGGTAGGAATTCGGAGAGGAGAACTGAGAGATGCCTGAAGGTCACTCGCAAATCCTCCCACCTCAGCATCGGGGAACTCCCACAATGGCTGCTTGTTGCTTAACCCCAAAAGTGCACTGTTAGGGGCACTAAGGCTTGCCTGGTGCTTTCCCAAAATACCCCGTGGATCCCACTCTGCCCTCATGGAAGGGGCATTCACTTACACAAAAGACTGGATATATTCTTGGGGCAAAACACTTCATATTTTTCCTCAAATCCGTCTGTCCTAGAGCAAAGGGAGATAGGGGAAGCACTTGCAATTCACTCCTCTCATCCGTACCCCAAATTCTGCCTCCCAGGAATCCAGGTGACCCCAAAAATTGTTTGGAGAAGTTAAAAAGTCACAGAATCGCAGAATGGTTGGGGCTGGAAGTGACTTTTGGAGATGATCTAGTCCAACACCCAAGAGGTAAATATGAAAAAAGCAGCATTTTCTCCTCTTTTCTTTCTACAGGCTTTTCTTTTTCTTATAGGACTCTTGTGTAAGGATCTTCCCAGTGATACCATCTTCCTGCAGAAAATAAAACTGGGCTGTTGCAATGATTTCATGTGCAGGAGGAGAATTCATGCCTTGGTCTGACACAGCTCACCTCGGGAGCTGCTGTGGGTGAGACAGGGACAGCCCCTGGTTCATTAACGTCTTAGTAAATTTACTTTAACTGCAGCACTTCCCAGCTCCTGAGACTTCCCAAGGTTTTGCTGAGACTGGGCTTATTTAGGAATTATATAGCAGCAGAAGCAGTTTCTCAACCCAATCAGATTGTCCAGTTGGGCTATTTTTATTATTGTTAGGTTTGGGGCTTTAAAAAGGAACATCTTGCTTCCTGGGATTTCACAGATTTTGCAAGAAACCTCACAGCAGACAAATTTTCCGACTGCCTGTGTGACTAAATCAGAAGATGCAATCCCTGTAAAGTGGAAATTATCTTTTTGGAGGGTTTTGCCCTCCACCCAACCTTCTTAAATTGCAAGTTCTTTTGAGAAGTGACTCATTTTATTTGTTTAATGCCTGGCATAGTTGGGCAATGAGAGGAAATAATTCTAATAACTTCCCTAACTGCAGTGCCCTCGTTGCCTCCATTGGGGTCTCCTGGCTTTGCTGCCACAGGAAATATCTGACATTATCCTGCTAGACAGAAATTACAGCTTCTTTAGAAGACAAACTGGCTTTTTACTGGATCTATCTACTCTTATTTTCCATAAGCAACAGCCACCCCACCCTGGATGTGAAACGAAGCCACTGAGTCACCATGAAGGAGTGACCAGCTCATTTACCTCCTAGAGGAAAACCAAAAATCCCCTCCAGAGAAAAGAGGAGATATCTTCCTTCAGTTGATAATTAGAGGTAAAAAAAAAAAAAAAAAAAAAAGACATTCCAGACTTGGATTTTTAAAATCAGGCAGAAGTAGTGTGATCAAGACCTTATCTAAGATAGTGACAGACTTAGCCTCATGATTTCTTCTCCATGTTTACAGGGATAATATTTTTCCAAAGTTCAAAGTCTTCCTCTGCAGGAAGCATGTGATTTGCAGTCACACCATATTTTGGTGCTATGAACAATTAAAAAAATCAATTTCTGGAGCGATATTTTCTATGTTTATAATCTCTGAACTAATTACAGGACTGGAAAATCGATAGCTATCTGGAAATCTTTCCAATATGGCAAACTAAGCATGCTAGAGATCATGCTGGAATATATTCTTCCCAAACACATGCTGCTCCTGACCATCTCCCAGATCCCAAATGATATCACTGTCAATAAACCTCTGTACCTCATTGCACTGCAGCAGCAGCATTTACCAAAATCTGCAGGGGGCATTGGGCTGAGAAAATTGCTGTGAGCTGGAGCAATGCTTGTGCCAGCATTTTAAGCCTGAGTTAGTTCAACAGGAAACTAAAAAACTATTATGAAATAAAGTAATTAAAAATCCATGCCTTAGTTATAATGTTGTTTTTTCATCAGGATTTATTAAAATAAAAAGCAGAACCTTTGGTGACTGAAAACAACCTCCTTCTCTTGTTTCCTAGCAAGAGAGAAGCCAAATTAAATGGGCAGTTTGATGGTGATTACGCTTCAGAAACACACATAAAGAGGAAGGGTGTTGCTCTGATGAACAAACCTCCTCGTGCTGTACAAACACACTGTGTTGACCATGGCAAATGAGCTGGAACCAGAGCTCAAACCCTTGTGCTGGTGCTCTCCACCACTTCCCACACACCCAGGCACTGCCAGGATCCTCTCCAAGATGCTGCCACGTCCCTCGTGCCCTGTGGGAGCTCAGTGTCTCTTCCTTGCTGTGCTGGAGCTTGTGCTGCTGCTAAATGCTAAATATTCCCCCTGGACACAGTGCCAACAGCACAGCCAGGGGATAAGAAGCACAGATATGGGTGCAGGGGATTTTCCCCACACTCCCATTTGCACTCCTGCTTGGTACAAGAGTGTGATGAATTCTGAGCTGTCACAATGCCACAAAGTATTTGCTCTGATTTTATGCTTTTTTCTCTCATTATTCTTCATAGCTTTTTCCCTCCAGTGAAGTGAACAGAGGAAAAAGCAGGACTGGGGCACATCTCTGCCCTCACTGCCTCCCCAAGCTGGGGGATTCCAACTCCCCAAGGGGGGGATCCTCATCCCGGATTCCCACAGCTCCCCAAGGAGGGAATCCTCATCCTGGATTCCCACAGCTCCCCACGGGGGGGATCCTCATCCTGGAGTGAAGCTTTGTGTTAGCAGCCCATGGGGGTAAGGTGCAGCATATGCCTTGTCCTGTGCAGCATATGCCTTGTCCTGGCCCTCACCTCAGGAGACAAGCCATGATTTATAGTCATGCTCAAAGAATTTAAATTTTGGAGTGGAACACAACGCATGCAATGATCTGGATTGTAAATATTGTTATTATTAATTTCTGTTTGCACTTCTGTAGCACTCCCACGTGCAGCTGAGGAGCTCCTGTGCACACTGGGACAGAGGAAGGAGCCCTTGAGCTGCTGACAGCCTGCCCAGAACAGCAGACCCAGACCTGAGAGGGGCCAGGGCGTTGATGGCAACAGCACCCAGAACACACCAGCGGTGTGGCTTTGCTAATCTAGGCTGCTTTCTGCCAAAAACCAACAGCTACAAAAGCATTGTGTTCATCATCATCATCCCAGTGAAAATCTCCCTTTAAACTGCTCAGGCTGAAATGTCCTTGTGGGGGATGCAGAGCTGCTGGGCCACGCTCTGCTCAGACTCTGCAGGGACAGACCTACAGCTGCTGCACTCAGCTTCAGTGTGTGCTCCCTTCAGATGATGGTGTCTTTGGACTCTGCTATCATTCTTGAAATTTTAATGTCATATTTCCTTCCAATAAAACTCAGCTGGAGTGCAAGAACTCACTTCTGTTTCTCTCTTAGGAAAGGAAGGCCGCGGTGTCTGCACATCACCTAAGGGGAAGGATCTGAGGAAAAAGAGCTCAGACCCTTCAGAAATCTTTCAAAGAGAACCCCCAGCTCTCCTTTATCTCTTTTAAAATTAACACATCATACTTTGCACATGTTAAACAACAAAGTTCCTGATATAGCTTCTAAAAACCCCCAGGCCCAGTGGGGTAGTGCCATTATTTTATAAAGAGGGTGACACTCCCCTGGCCAGTGACAGCCAGCACCTCAGGGACACCCTGAATTAGAGGTTTCCACAGAGATTATGGGGTCTAACAGCCACCAAAGCATGTGTCACCCATGAATTTGTATAATTCTTCCTTAAACACAGTTACACTTTTGGCTCTGTGATGGCTCGGCCACCAGTTGCTGTTGTTTAATCAGCAGCTACTACAAACATCCTACCTCACCCTTTCATTTACAGGAACCTTTGCTCTTGTAATAATGAAGGCAACTCACAGATCGGGGCAGGAGAGATTCTGATGGTTCAGTTTGCAAAGACAACAGGGTAACACAGAGGTTGGTAAAATCCCAGGGGGGATTTCAGAACTGCTACTCTCACTGCAAGCCAGCACCAGCAGTCTTGAAAAATCCCATCTTTATTTGTTATTTATTATATGTTTCCTATGAATGAATTATAATAAAACACTAAAAATTCTACTTTTGGGGAAAAAAAAAAATCCAGATCTGTTCTTCCTTCCTGAAGATTTGCTGCTCGTTCTGCAACAGGAGATGTGAATTATAGAAGTATTAATAACAGCAGTATCAGGAAATGATCATTCAGGCACCAGAAATCCATATGAGACATTATGGCTTTAAATAAATTGTTCATCGCTATGTTAATCTAATCTTGTAAATACGTGCACACTTAACTATATTAAAAATGTAAATGCTCCCAGACCTGGACTTCACATGATGAATAAACAACTCCCCTTTTTTGCCTTGTCAGCTCTGTTGGTCTCAGAAAAACAAGAATTGATGATCATTGAAAAAGTTGATGTCTGCACAGATTTAGCCAAAAGATTGTCACAATCACCTCAGAATCCATGTGGCTTACAGGACTGAACTTGAAGAAACCTCTTTTAACATCTGCTCATGACAGAGCAATTCCAGCTCCAGGAGTGCCTCCAGCCAGAGACTTCCCTTCCGTGGCCCTGAATTTGCATTCATTAAACCCAGAGTTTTAATGATTTATGGAGATTTATAAAAAATGGCAGTGCAGAGCTGCTGACACTCCCAAAGCTTCTGACAGGAGTATAACACATCATAAATCCATCCTGGTGTGAAATATTGAATGAAAACTGGTGCAGGCATATCTGCAAGTATTAACACGACCCATAAAATCAGGGATTCAGACTAACTAAAATTATCAGTGTGCCCCAAACCCAAGGAGAGAACAAATATAATAACAACAGTATAATAATTACAATGTTAGTAATAACACTACTAATAAAGTTACCAGTCTCCTTGTTGTTGTTTATTATTATCACTGCCCTGATAATTCTCAGCTCCAAAGATGGAGAGAGGCAGATAGGCCCCATGCTTTGAGAAACAACCTCAGTGCTTTGGGAAACAAATTCCAGCTTCCCCTATCCCTCAGAACAGCTACCAAGATCTTTGGGATAAGCCTTTGGGAAGGCTCTGGAGGAGCTTTTTGCCACTCACACAGCAAGGTGTGCATTGGCTGCTGCTGAGCCCCAGGGTTTGGGGAACTGCAGTTTAAACAAACATGCCCCTGGGACAGACTCTTTTTTATTTGCAAGTGAATCAGCAGAGATGGCAAGGCTGATTTGCAGTGCCTGCCCAGCATCTCTCCAAGATTTTAGTACTAGACCTCTGTTCTGCCTTGCCACACTTTCCCCCTTGGTTACCTTATCACAGTTGCTATTAGCTCATGCAAATCCACAGCACAAGTTCCTTATCTTTACATCTTCCTCACACAAGAGCTAACCTATTTCTAGATGCTGAACAAAAAAAAAAAATCGCTAAAAACTAAGTAAAAAATTACTCTGCACCTCTGAGGACAACTTCAGCCAAGGCAGAATAGACCAAAATACATGTGAGAAGTGAGCTGAGCTGAGCTGAGCTGAGGAGCAGGATGCATCCCCCTGCAGCCAGAGCCAATGATTCACTCAGCTCTGCACCCTGGAACAGGAAATGTGGGGCCATTCCCCAGCTCGAATGCCCTGGATGCACTGCTTCACCGTTGCACTTTTTGTCCTTTGACCCTGTTTATTTAGAATAAAAACAGTTTGAAACAGGGCCTTATTCATCAGTGATGCACAGCACCAGCCAGAACAATACCCCAGCTTTGTTGTGCAGGAAATGATTTGTATATGATAAAGCAAGATCAGTTTGTATACATGGAGCAAAGGTTTCCTAGTTTTCCTGGCCACAGCCTGTTGTAACAACAGGCCCTCCCACACTTAATTTTACTTTAAAGGCAGATTCAACAGTTCCAAATTCAACCAAACCCTACCAGAACCCATCTACCTCCAGCTCCAAGGGAAGCAAGAACAGCACAAAGAGGCAGCACCTTCCAGCTCCATCTGAGAGTCACAGAGGATGAGGAGGAGGCAGTGATGTGAACAGCACATCAAAACAGCCTAAGATGGGCTTTGATGAGCTGCTGGGTCTGCTTCTGCCTCAGCCTCTGCCCCAGCTCTTGGCTCCTTGCTGTCCTTGGGCACTGCAGTGCACACAGGGGATGGCAGGGCTCGGCATGGCAGCTGGATGTCAGATACCAGCCCATGGCTTTGCCCTCCTCTCTGCCTCATGCAGTGTTAGCTGGGCTTTTCCCTTACCAGGTTATCCTGGGCACTCCGGGAAATGGAGCGCTGATTGCACTTCAGGAGCTAAGCAAGCAGGGCCTGAATTATTTATCTGTGAGCATGCAGAACCCAGCCAAATCCCCAAGTGAGGTGGAACAGCTCTTGCAAGAAATGCAAAAGAGGATGCAAAGGCTGCATGAGTGGGCATGAGGAGCTGCATGGTCAGAGCCTCACACGTGCACGTCACATCTGCTGGGACTCTTCCTGCCCAGGTGGTTTACGTACAGGAGGGTGTGGAGTGCTCAGGCGTGGGTTCTGAGCCAGAGACTCTTCTGTGAAAACACTCAAGAGCCACCTCTGTGCCTCAAACCAACCACGGTGATGACGAGTCCCCAAAAAGCAAAGAAAAACGCCCAAACACAAATGCTAATGCGAATACAGGGGGTTTGGGGTGTCCTACAGCTTTCCTGCTCAGCTCCCTCAATTCCGGAGGAGCTGAGTACTCTGCAACCATTAGCTCAGTCGTATCCAGCCTACCAGCAGGGTATCGTGCCATGGAGATAGTGCCACATTAGCCGTGTTTGTGTCCCGGCTTCAATAATGCCCCCGCACCTGCTCCTCCACTTCCCCTTCCACGCCAGCGCAAAGAGCAAAATCCTGTCCTTGCTCTCTGCCACCACAGATGCAGATGCAGATGCAGCTCCTCCAGCACTGTTTTCCCCTCGGTTCGGGGCAGGGATGCATCCCAGAATTTCTCCATGAGCCTGCCGGGGGTGCAAGGAGGCTGGGATAGCCCCGGGCGAGGGTGGGCAGCCTGAGCCTGGGGGCTGCAGGTGTGCGGGGGGCCGGGAATAGGCAGGGCTTGATGTGATGCCGAATCCCTGCTCTCTCCTCACCCCCTTCTCGTCGCTCCCACTTCCCTCTCCTCCTTTTCTTGCCCCAGACACAGAACCCTCTCCCTGCCTTTCCTCTCCCGCTGCCCTGCTCCCATCCGCATCCCTCCCTCCGCCCGCATCCTCCGCCGTTCCCCGCTTTCACTTCGGCCTCAGTTTCCCCGCGATTGGCCCGGCGGGCGGCGGCGGCCCCGACGATTGGAGGAGGTGTCCGTCCGTCAGGGGCTGCCCGCCCCGGCCCCGGCCCCGGCCCCGCACCGGCACCGGCACCGGCCCGGAGCGCAGGCGGCGGAGCGCGGGCGGCGGCGGCGGCAGGTACCGGGCACCGGGCATCGCACCGGGCATCGCACCGGGCATCGCACCGGGCATCACACCGGGCATCGCAGCGGGCAGCGGGTGCGGGGAGGGATGCGGCACCGGGGGATGCCCGGGAGAGCCTCGGCAGCCTCGGTAGGACCGAGCCCCGGGAGCGCGGGGATGGGCGCGGGGCATGCGGGGCTCACGGGGCTCACGGGGGGCTTTTGGTGGCCACAGCGCGGGGTCCGTGGTGGGCACAGCCCGGTGGATGTCACCGAAATGGCCCGAGTCGTTGAGGTTTTCGGCTTTGCGATGGTCTGCGAGGATGCTGCAAGGTTGGGGTTGCTGCCTGGAACTGTGTTCGGACTGAATCGCTGCGGTTTGGGGTTTTCTTTGTAGCGTGACTGTGTCTTGCTGTAGAAAATTTAAAAGATGCTAATTTCCTTTAAAAGTAAGGAAGGGTAGTAAAGTGGCATGGCAGGATGCTTACAACAAGAAAAAGAAGTTACATTAATTATAGATTAATCCATTTCACAGGAGCTGAAGTTAGTAGCAGGCAGGATGCTGGGTGGAATTGGAACTCTTTAGTTACTTGCCCTATATTACTTTTATAACCCATTTCTTCAGATGATACAAATCAAAAGCTGCTGTAATAAAACCGTGTTTTTCAGCTCTGAGAGCCTAAAAAGCACAAGTGGACCTTAATCACATGAGTTTGTTGCATTAACATTTTATTACCATTTTAAAGGCTGTTTGATTTTACCAGGCAACACACTGCAAACCTGTAGTTATCCCTGCCTGGCACCTCTTTATACATATATATATTTCTGGGCTTCTACTTTCTGTAGTGCCACTTGGTTGTAAAAACACACATTAAAATAGCATTTGAGGCAGAAATGAACACAAAGGAGATCTTTAGAAAAGTGTGTCAGGGTTCTTGTAAACGTGAGAAAGGATGAAGCTCTGGGGGGAGCGGGTTAGTCAAATAATGAAAAGGAAAAAAAAATGTAGCTATTTATATGCAAAGAAGTCTGGTTTGCAAACTGCCTAAAGTGGTCGGAAACTGAAGCACTCTCAGTGCACAGGGCGGGCTGGGGGGGACAGATCAGAGCCACCTGCCCTGCCACCACTCCATCAGAGCCCTGCGGTGAGTGATGAGTGTGCTCAGGTGTCACAAGTGCCACCCGAAACCCCGGGAAGTGGCAACTCCGCTGATGCTCCCTGAAATTCTCCTGCCCATGGGGCAAACCTGCTCAGTGACAGCGGCAGAAACACGAAGTTTTCTGGGATGGGGGATGAGACTGGGAAGCAGCGATTCCTGCCATATTGGGTTGGATATTCTTGGCTGGTGAAACCAGGAACTACCTGAGCAAGCACTCACTGGAAGTATTTACAGAGATTAGAGATCTGCAGGCAAGGGGGAAGATGGGATCAGCCACTAACAAAAGAAATACCCACCGGCTTAGGGAGATCAGCATCCAGCTGCTCGGTGCCTCATGACTGCAAACTCCTCCAGGCAGTTTTAATCTTTTTTTGTGCGTGTGTCTAACAGCATGTTGGGGAGGATCCTGCCCTGTCCCATGTGGGGCTTTACACCCTGCAGTAGGAGGGAATCATGGCTCTGTTTTATGCTGCTCATTTTGCTCAGTCCACCCCAAAAAGCATCACTGAGCACTTATTTTGCTTTTCTTTATTTTAATTGGGTGTGCCAAGCCCAGAATCCTGACTTTGCACGGATGAAGGTGCTTATATGCAGGATGCCATACATTTCTCTTTAGCACTTGGGTTTTTTGTCCTCCTCATGTTGTTCCTTGAGGTGTTGCCTGTAAGTTGATTATTCAGAGCCTGGGACATTTGTATCTTGCATAATCACAGTGAATGGTGGAAAAGTTTTGCAAGACTGCACCCACGGAACAAAGTTGGCAGCTTTTTGCTGGTGGGTTAGTGAGATGCTGGGTATGATTTCAGGGAAAAGGTTCCCCTTTGGATTTTGTGCTTAATGAATTGAGGTCGCTGTGTTAAGGCAACGTGTAAGAATTATCAACCACGCACAGGCTGTTACAGGTGTAGTGAACTGCACTGGCCTGGGTTTCTCTGGCCACCCTGCAGGGTGCTGTGCTTCCCCAGCACAGTTAAAAACCACATTGTTTTGGCCTGGTGAGGGGCTTATTCTTGTGCAGAGAAGCAGAATTTGGGAGCTGGAGCAGCCCGGAGCATGCAGGATGAGGGGCTTTGTCTGCAGGGTTGGTGGCAGTGTGGCTCTCCCTGCACTTATGCCCAGCTATTCCAGCCCTCTCGGTCTGTGGGATTTCTTCTTCTGAAGGCACTCTCCTTTCCCTTTTCGAAACGGATTTATTCCTAGACCTCCCCACCACAGAATTAGTTTTGTTCCCTGTTGGCCCTGAGTGACCTGGTGGCGTGCGAGCGCGGACGCTGAACGGCGGGATTGGAGAACAAAGAGTTCCTGCACGCACGTTCCGGGGAAAACGCTCCCAGAGAGGTCAGAGACTTCATCTGCTTTATGAATCCCAGACAAAAGCTTCCATCCTACTTCAGCAGATGGGATAAGTGGTTGTAGACAAGTGCTCAGAGAGGGCCTCTAACTTCAGTGGGTTTTATGTCAGAGCTCTCTCTAGTACAGAGGAGAGCATGTGATGAGGCAGTGAAGTGTTTATTATTAGCAGAGCAGTGTTGTTCTAACCTTAAGTCTCTCTTCAGGCAGAAGTACCCCTGAACCTGTTCTGCAGTGTTGCTGCTGCCAAAAAGAGTGTCATTCCACCTCTCCACTGTAATTGAGCTTGAGCAGTGGACATATGTTAGCACTGGGAAATATTCTGTTTATTCTGGTTCACTTCATTCAGCAAAGTTCTGAGCCTTTCCAGCAGCTCTTGAAATTCATAGAGCAATGAAGTCCCCTTTATTCCCTAGTGCTACTTTGCTGACATATGTAGAGTTACAATAAAACTGAATTTAACTGCTATTGTTAATGGCATATTGCTGTATGGTATCAATAATCTTCAGTCACTGGAACTCCCAGAGCTTGGCTTGGTTGCTTCAAAGAAAAAATGAAATGCTGACAAGCTTTGTTTAACTGTAGCTGATGGTTTAAAGGAGTTAGGGAGTCATTTTCATGTTGAGAAAGCAAGATTAAACATTTTTTTCCCTAAAAATTACTTTGATTTTGTAATCTGGCTAAAAAAAAAAAATCCAATAAAAAGTATTCCCCTTTGGCCCTGAGTTCCTGCCCTTCACCTCATAGCTGCTCTAATTTCTGGTTGTGGGATTTTGAGTCAGAGATTGAAGAGAAGTCATCCCTTTGAAAGTGTTCATCATTTCCTTTCAATGACACAAATAGGGATCTGCCCTCTTCAGAGAATTCCCCCAATATACCACAGCCTGTCAAGATCTAGGGTATTGCATGAGGAAATGCAAATTATTTGCAAGCTGATGTTCTGTTTATCTAAAATAAAATGAAATAAATGAAGTGTGATTCCTGTTTAGGTCATCTTTAGGGGGTGGATGGGGAGTACTTGGTATCAGGAAGCTTAGAGGCTGCAGATGCCATGTCAGAAGTCTTACAGCCATGTGAGCCTGTGCCAGTGCTGGACCAGATTCCCTGTGCCACATCAGATTTGTGCTGAATGGGTTAATTTTGCACCATCTGGCTTTGTACTAGATCAAATATTGTTTCTGTTGTGGTAGCCAACATGAGGCCAGAATAAACTGGGAGTAATATCCTCAGCTAATCCAACAGAAATATGATTATGTACCTGTTCCTTCTCCAGATCATATCTGCAATAATGGGTGATTTAACAACGCAAAATAATCCTTGTGGAGACAGGGGAGAGGACTGAGGGTGGGGCATTTCTGCTGGGAATAGTCTCTGACACCTAGGGTTGTTCAGCCTGGAGAAGATATGGCTATGGGGAGATTGTAATGCCCCTTCCAGAGCCTAAGGGAAGCTGGAGAAGGAATTTTTACAGGGGCATGGAGTGATTGGATACGTGGGAATAGCTTCAAACTGAAAGAAAGTAGTCTTAGGTTAGATATTAGGAAAGAATTCTTCCCTGTGAGGGTGCTGAGGCCCTGGCACTGGTTGCCCAGAGAAGCTGTGGCTGCCCCATCCCTGGAAGTGTCCAAGGCCAGGTTGGACAGGGCTTGGAGCAATCTGGGATAGTGGAAGGTGTCCCTGCCCATGGGCAGGAACTGGATGGTCTCTGAGTTCCCTTCCAACCCAACCCATTCTGCAATTCTGCGACTTGAGGGCTGTGGGTAACCTCAATGTGATGATCTCCTTTCAGTTGGCAACAGAGACACAATAGGAATGTTTAACTCAGATTAGGTACTTAGCTTTAAGCAAGTCATTATGAGACAAAAATTGCAGTCCTAGTGCAGAATGGCTTCCTAGGGAGTCACCTGAGACTCAGAAATGGAGGTGATTTAACTTTGGATTTTGCACGCCGCAGTGACCTCCAAGTCGCTAATCTGAGGTTAACCAAAGCAGAACAGCTGGAGTTCTACTGCATTTTGAAGTATTGCACATCTCAAGCAGTGAGTTCATTTAAGTGCTGTCTGGGAGGCTCTGCTGTTCCCCTGCTTGGCAGGAATCTCAAGACTAATACCTAAGAGGATTAGAGAGCATCATTGGATGTTAAACAAGATCCAGGTTAAGCAGTGTGCACCGGTGAGTTCGTGCTCCCAGGGCTGTTTGGGGAAGCTGTAACTTGCTGATCTAGAAAAAACAACGGGGTTTGTGGGGAAATACCCTTCCCTCAGCTGAATCCTTGGTGTGTGTGTCTCTCCTGCTCCCACCTGGCTCTGTGTTTCCACCCGCCCATCTCATGTTGTCCTGTGCTCACTGCAGTGGTGGGTGTTGCAGGAGTTGCTGATGAACAGCAAGTTAGTTTTTCTGTGATGATTTTAACTCTTCTAATGTGCTCCACTGAGCTTTATGTTGACTGGTTGGACTTGAATGGGTGGGCATCCAGTCCACCAACACAGGGCTGAGCTGGAGAACT